AAATGCATGGCAGCTCTAATTGAGTTATTTGCGCAGCTCGGCCTGAAGCAGGTAAGCAGCAATTAACCGCCAGTCGGGAATCCCAATTGCACCTGATCCTGCTCCTGCTCCTGCTCCAACTCTTGCTCCTTCACCAGCTCCTGCTCCTGCTTGTTGCACAATCAACCTCTCGAAAGTCCCCCTCAAAGGTGTGCTGCTAATGGTTCTATATACTTCGTACATACATATATGCACGTCGGTTTTTCGGTATAATTTGATTTGGCTCAGGGAAAATCTCTAAAGATGTAGGGTTTCGAGATTCTTATTTGGTCTCGCAGGATTTATAAAGTTTGTCTTTTGGTTGGTGATGGCAATTACCTTAACTTATTCTTATTACCCTTTCTGGGTCAGAAATCCATTTGCTATTTCTTTTGACAAAAAGAAACCTCTATCTTCTTAGCCATCTTAGCCATCTTAACCATCTTAAAATCTTTTTTCATGTCTTTTGTTATTTAATAACAAAACATCTAAAACCACCATCTCCCTTGTTCAATTAGTTTCAATTAGTGTACTTGACGGCCCAAAAATGAATCAATTAGAATGCCTTTTGCCAGCAATCAATCATCTTTGACCCGAATAAAGGGGTAGTCCTTTCCAAGTCCTTTTCATTAACCCTTCTCATTAAGACCGAATAGCTCAACGTTGAAATTGACCTTGACCCGCCGTGGTGCATCCTGCATTTCAGTTTATCATTTTCCGCTCGCCTTAATCCCCATTTCAGGCCAGTTCCATTTCCCTTTTGGCCATCTTTAGCCCCATTACCAATTAGTCCGCCGCCAAGGTCAATGGCCCGGATATGATGGCAAAGGAACAAAAATGTTCAGCTGGGTTTTGGTAACGGGAATGAAGAAAATGGCATAAAGATACGAATGCAGATACGGGGAATGAGGACGAGAATGATGGTAATGGCAATGGAAATGGAACTACTCCTGCTTCCAGGGCCATTAGGCGTGCGCTGCAGGCTTAATTAATCATGGCTAAGTGAGTCCTGGACATAAAGGCACACACAAAAAAACTATTAGACATAAATGTGATTTTTCCATAGCTTTTACGTTTATCGCTCTTCTTTCGTTTCCTCTCCGTCTGCGAGTCCGTTTTCATCTGCTTCGCCGTCGCACAATTTTCCGTTTCCGGGTAACCATGCACTGAGAGAAATGTGGGAACTTGAAGATAATGTAGGGAGTTCGTACGAGGATTCTAATGTTATTTCTGTTCCTTATTTTGGACTGTCTATCTATCTTTCTATCTATTTTTCTATCTTTGAATTATTATATATATGTATATACATATATATATATTGTATCTTAAAATCCAATTGAATCTATTTCTTTAGGTGTAAAAAAACACAAAGGGACAGCGCACAAATTACTTAAAGATGGATAGAGAGCGACCGGATGAGGTGAAGAATGTGGCTAAAGTCACAGAAGACGCTGCTGCTGGTGGTGGCGATGGTGGCGCACGGAAGGGCTCGAGGGGCGTGGCCAAGCAACGACGCGTTATTTCCGTTTCCGGTGCCGGCATTCAACACTCGCATCGGGCCGCATTGAGTGATGAAGTTTCGGTGTCTCGGTCCCTCTGGTAACCTCACCCCTAAGACCCTTGAATCCTGGTATACTACACCGCCCTTGTCAACGCCCTCCTGCAAGCCTTTAGCCTGGCCTTAACCCCTGACATATTCTTTTTTTTTTTTTTGCCGCCCGCCCTGCCCCCACGCGGCCACCTTTTTCGATCTGTTTTGTTGGGCGGCCAGGCCAAGTGATAAAATGTTTTATGTGCTTGAGTGTCTGATAACAATAAATAACGCCATCAGGACGAGGGACCAGGGGACCAGGGACCAGACAGGGCGACCGGGTAGAGAGATGCCATGTAAACAAATTGGTGTTGAAGGCATTTAGCCCTTTGTTGAGCAGAGTTTGCGGCCTGGCCAGTTCGTTTGTTTAGGCCTCCAAGTTAGCCCCTTTGCCCTGTTTCCCATTTTTCTTTCATCGTTTCATCGTTGGGCCATTGGACCCATCGGGCTTGATGAATTGTAATCAGCTATAAATTGGTAACAAGGCCAAAGGGGCTGTCGAATTAATCATCAAAGTTTCAATGTGGTGGTCTGGGTGGGTTGAGTGTTCTCGAATCCGATTTGATTAGTTGCCAAAATATGTTTGAACAACAGCGGCAACAGTTTTGCGCTGAAAAATCAATTTTCATAGCAACTGGATGGGATAAATGATGATAAAATATATGTAATAATTAATTTTTGGTCTCTAACAAAATGGAATTGAAGAGGAATTGGAGATATATATATTGTAAAGATTGGAATTCAGATTGGTTTATTGAGCTATGGATAATAGTGTTATAATATTTCTGATTTTTGATTAACTTTTAGTTGATTTTCTTTCGGACTTCAATTTACCCAGGACTAGTAAGAAAATATCGGTTTATCGAAACTGCTTAATACGATATATAAATCGATTTCTAAACCTTTTCGATATCTTGGCTTATAAACTTTAAGACTAGTATAATCAAAAACAGAGAACAAATAAAGTGCAATAAAAAGTTTAAAATAATTATCAATTCATATTTTAAGCGTTAACTTTTTTGTTGCTTAAAATTCCGATATATCAAAGATTACAATATTATTGATTTCAAATTACGACTATTTTTCGATAGATAAAATTTCAATATATCAACTTAAACGATAAACGCAGTATTTTTGCAGAAACATATATCATATATATTATATCGAACGTTTTATTCTTATTAATTATTAAATATAGTAGAAAAATAAATACCCATTTCATAGAAAGTAGCAATATTTGGATATAATTTTTTCCTTAAAGTTTGATGGTCACAAACCCTGTTAAAAAAAAAAGTCCCTAAATTCCGGTATATTCAGAGGCTGCGATTTTTTTTTTTCCGCCATTTGCATATCCGCTGTCTGTGCATAATTAAAACGGAAAGACAAACAAATAATTTTATATTAATTTATTAGCATTTTTATTAGGGGCCGCAATTAAATTGGTTCCCTTTACTTTTTTGCGCCGCTCCACTTAATAATGGCATAATTGAATAAACATGAAATGGGGGAAATATAGGCTTTTAATACGAACACATGAATTATGCAGTTAAAATGCTTTATTTTAACAGCACCTTTGGCCGTTTATTTTGTGTCTAAATGAGTTATCCGTTGCTGTTTAAGCCAAATAAATGCAAGCGTTGTCTTTGAATGGATTTTCCAAGGCGGAAATCCCGAAAAATAACAAACAGTTTTTCTCTTTTTTTTTTTAATTTGGCTATGCATTGGTTCGCTTTCTAGAAAATGGAAATGGAAAATGGAAAGCCGGGAGAATGGAAAAGCGGGAAAATGATACAACGAGCGAATGTGTGTGAAATGGGCAAATAAAAGCACGGCGAATGCGTACGAAACTCTTTTAATTATGTTGATTTTTCGCTGATTTAATTTTTACCTGCGTTCGTTAAGTTTTCAGCACAAACCAAATGGAATTTAATTTAATCCTTTCGCAAAAAAAAGAAGAAAAAATAGCCGCATTTTTTATATCCCATATCCAAAGGGATAAAAAGGGTATTATAAATTAAAGGCAACGGAAAATGTATTTAGCTGGCAGGAGAAGGGATCTCAGGCTCGAAAGAGTATATAAATTGTTATTTAAAACAATTTAAAAATCGTAATATGTAAGAAAAATAATTAAATATAATTAGTAAATAAATATCAGTTTAATACATTTTTTTTTAAATTTAAAATAATTCTAAATAAATGGTGATTTAAAAAAAAATTTTAAATACGTTCTCCAATTTATTTATCTAATAAAAACAAGCACAGAAATATAATATAATAAAAAAAAATCCTGCTAAATATGTAATCAATTTATTTAAATTTTATAAAGGGGACTATTATAATTATAAACATTTTTTAAAAATAAAGAACAATTAAATTTTGAATAATTTTTATTACATTTTATTATATAAAATCTTAAATAAAAAAAATATATATTGAAAAAAAGTCCAACAAATATTTCGTTATTTTTTAAAATAAAAACAAAATTTTAATAAAAATCAACATAGTTTAGTATATTTTAAACTATGTAAACAAATTCATCAACCTAATAATAATATATAAGTGATATTTTAGATTAGTTATGCAAGATTTTCCATTTCCATCGCATAATCCAATGGAAAACTGCAAGGGTATATAATTTTCGACTTACAAAAGTTAGCTTTCTTTCTTGATATAATATTAAAATTCAAAATATATTTAAATTTAACCCTGTAAACATTATCTAACGGGTATCCTATGGTCAATCATAGTCGAGTACAGACTACAGCTCTCTTACTTTTTGTGTGTGTTGAATTGACCGGCAAAGACTACTGAAAAGAACACACACACACACCCTGGAAAAGCGGGGAAAAATCGGGAACGGGAAAGGAAAGTCAAATTTTTAAAAGCACTTTGGCCAACGGCAAATCTTTTCAGCTTTTTCCCAGTTCAAAATAGAAGCAAAAAAAAGTTGAAAATCTAAAAAAATAAGTACTTCAAAGACTTTAAAGTGCCAAGCGCTGATAACGAGACTGGTGGTGTCACGTTTTAGTTAATGTTACACCATTTTGGCTTAATTACTTTTTGGCTTTTGACCCGGCTCTCTGTGCACTCTTTGCCCCGCCCCCGCCCCCGCCCATTTCCGCTGCCATTTCTGAGAGCTTAATTAAATACGTCGGAGATTCACTTTTTCGCACTTTTCGTTTATAATTTAATAATTGCATCTGGCCAATAAGCTGATTTAGTCGCTTAAAATGCGGAATTGCAGCGCACTTTTAAGCACATTATTTGCTGATTGAATTTGGGTTTTGCTTTTGATTAAACATTCGGAGTGATTTTTGCTTTTTAAGTATTTTATAATTTATTTTTTATATTTTCCATTAATTTCTCTATAAATAAATGGCTTTACCCTTTCTTCCATTCATATTTAAATTTTATTTATTATCAAATTGAAATATACATATAAAAAAAATGTGTGCCTGATCCTATAAGGATCATGGCCTGGGCATACAAATACATATATATATATACATCTAAGTTTGGTCCTGAATTTCATACACACATACACGGTACAGACATAATTACATATTAAAGCTATTGAGGGGTTTGTCGGTGTGAAAGGGGGAAAGGGGAACATATATTCTTACACCCGGAATTTAGTGAGGACAAACTTATATATCACTGGATCGAGCCTGGACTTTGGACTGGCCAAAACCGATCTTATCACAAATAAACAACTTGCCTAACTATTATACAGTTAAAAAAAAAGTGTTTAAAATGGAATTCGGTTTGGAAATTGAAAGGTTTGCTAAGGGATTGCTTAAAAGAACCCTTAGCTTATTAAAAAAAATTTTTAATTGTTTTAAAATGTATAAATTAAAATCTACTAAAAATATACACATTTTGTTGTCTCATTTGGTGTGAAAGCTAAGTATTAATTCAAAATTCTGTCAGCCTAAAATGAAAGTACACTCTCACCCCTGATCCGAACTCCATTTACAATATTATATAGTACATATGCTAACTATTCCAGCGACCCAAGATCAAAGATTACTTAATGTAAAGGCAACAATATATAGATCGGCAATATTCCTTTAACCCGGTGTCGTGTGCTCGACATTTTCAAAATATATATAAAACAAAGTTCGCAGGAACTAAAAACACAGATCTGCAGCTTCATTATCCTTTAGGTTCTCGTCTCCTCGTAGCCGCAGTGAACGTAGCCCGTTTCTAGGGTGCCACTAACTGCAGCCGACTTGGCCGGCAGATCCTCCCTCGCCTCTTGGTGCACTTTTCCGTTGACTCCATTCGCTGCAGACGCTCCGTTCGCCTCGCAGCTGTCAAGGATCCTCTCAAAGACAGTCTCGAAACGACAGCGACTCAACGAAAAGCGTCCCACGTCCAGGCACAGCTCCCGCAGGACCACAAAGAGCTCCGACAGGAGTGGCTGATCCGGTGTGGCCGGGCTGCCCGGTGCCCGAATCCTCACCAGAAAGCGCAGGCTGTGCCCATAGTGCTGCAGGTCTCTAATGCTCGTCAGCCTCTGGCCCAGGCTCCTGGCCAGCAAAGCCTGTTGAGCGGGGCCGCAGAAGCAGCTCACTGCATAGTAGCCACCGTGCGCGGCCTTCAGCCGCTCGGGTGTGTCGCTGGCAATCACCTGACCAGAGCGGAGCACCGCCACACGCTGGCACAAATGCTCAATCTCCGACACCGAGTGCGAGGTGAGCACCACAGCGCGGCGGGATAGCAGCAGCTTCTCAATGGTGACATAGACCAAATCCCGGGTCACCGGATCCATGTCACTGGTGGGCTCGTCCAGCAGAACGGTGGGCGTGGCGCCGCAGCAGGTGACGGCCACCGTTAGCTTGCGCCTGTTGCCGCCACTAAGGTTGCGCACCTTAACCTCTTTGTAGGGGCGCAGCTCATAGGTGTCCAGCATTCGGTCCAGAAACTGATCCACCTGCCGAATGCCACGCAGGCGGCCATAGAACCGTATGCATTCGCTGACCGTGAGCAGGGGGTCCAGGGGATTGCTCTGCGGGCAGTAGGAGACGCCGGGCTGAAGGAGGGAAACAGAATTTTAGATAAAAGAATTAATAAAAAATAGTATTCGGACGCACCTGCTCGAAGTATATGTGCCCCACATTTGGCTGCAACTGTCCCGTCAGCAGCTTGAATATCGTGGACTTTCCTGCCCCATTTTTGCCCAGCAAACCGAAGCATTCGCCGCGCTGGACACTGAAGTGCACCTGGCGCACGGCGTATCGGCCACGGCTGTAGGCCAGCCATAAGTTCTCTGCTCTCACTGCCTCCCCGGCGGCCACGCAGCTCTTGAAGATGCTCTGGATATTGACCAGCTTCAACTGGCCCAGCTTGTCCAGCTCCTGACGGTAGTGGCAGTCAAGCAGGCGCTCCACGCGCTGCCAGAGCCGGCGGAGCAGGTGCCATTCGATGAGCACATTGAGAACCAGAAAGACCAAACCCACCAGCACAAGACCCGTAAAGTGGCGTGCGAGCAGGTCGCTGGCCAGGGGATGCTTGTACGAGTCAATGTCGTAGCGCCGGAAGACCAGGGCCACCATGTAGTTCTTGCACAGCTCCAGGAGGCCATCGCCCAGAGCATGTTGTGGGAAGACGAGGAAGGCCTGGTTGAGGGCATGGCGCCAGTTATCCCAAGCCGGACCCTCGCCCACAACGCCCAGGATGAGAATGATGCCCATGGTGACCAGGGGGATAATCAGATTGGCACAGAAGATGGTGACAATAGCAATGCTCGAGTCGCTGAACAGTTTCTCGGCCACATGCACGGCGGGCACGCAGGCAAAGCTAAGAGATATGAAATCTTATATACTTTCTATGAAGAATAATCCTCTCCAGACTCACCTGAAGGCTAGGGAAAGGCCAACAATGCCCACCAACTGCTGGCGATCCACAAACACGGGCATGCCAAACACAAAGACCACGGCCAGGCAGACAATCAGGGCCAGGACCATCACCAGGTAATCCCAGACGAAGGCCACTAGCCAGTAGGTCACAGCACTCACTCCGCACAACCGCTGCTGCAGCTTCTCGCCATTCTCACGCTCATTGACCAGGTACACAGAGCCGGCAGCCACCACCAGACCGAAGGCTATCAGCAGGATGAACACGAAGCAGGAGTCGGCCGCCTGACGGAGAATGGAGCTGGTGCTTAGCTCGGCAAAGCCCAGTTTCCAGGGTTCATTGAGGGTCAGTATGCTGTACTCCGAGTCGTTGAGCGTGGTGCGGAGCAGGTCCGAGTTGAGATCATTCAGCCAGGCCACCATGGCATGGTAGCCCTTGTTGTTATACCAGACCGTAGCTCCCGTGCCATTCATGCTGTAGCCACCGTATCTTCTCTCCCGGTACTCGTGGTTAGTCTCTAGGATCCAGTTGTAGGGCTGCTCCGAGCTGTTGAACTCCCGGCACTCGCCCTGATCCTCGCAGCTGGTTTTTAGATGGGGTTGCAGTTTCCCGGCGAAGCGGTTGGGCTGCTCTTGGGACAGGAATTGCGCTGTCTTGGGATAGAGAGATCTACTCAAGGGCAGGACAGTGTCGAAGTCATCCTCCAGGCGATAGCTGACGAACCACATGGCGCAGAGCTCGAAGAGAGCGGGCAGCAGCAGGACGTAGAGCAGCAGGCGGTAGTTGCGAGACAGATGCTTGAGTCTTTTGCCCATCAGGAGTTTAAACTGGGCGCAGCTGGAGGGGGGCTCCTCCGTGGTTGTAGTCTCTACAGGTCTGGCCACGCCTCCGTTTCTGTCGCTGACCTGAACTCGTCGTACCTCCTCACCGCCGCCGCCGCCGTTCTTCTTGTTTAGCTGCTCAAACTCCTGCTCCAGACTGTTGCTGCTGGCCAGCTCCACGTCGCTAATGGAGCCAATTACCTCCTGGGATTGCAACAGTTGCAGAAACTCCACGGCACCGGGTGTCAGATGCTCAGCATAGCTGGTCTGTATGGTCACACTGTGGGGATGATCGCCGGCCCCCAAACGGAGCACCTGGCTCTGGGGCAGCAGGTGCTGGGCCTGCTGAACAATGTGGGTCAAGGTGGTGGCATCCACACAGTGCACACTGATGCTGTAGGTGGCAGTACAGAGCTGCTGAAGGGACTCGCGACTGTGCTGGGCCACGACGCTGCCCTGGATTTTAATAAATTTATTAATTTCCGCTTACTAAGTTTAGTAAAAGATAATGCTTACATTCCGCATGATCACCAGCGAGTCGCTGAGGTACTTGGCCTCGTCCAGGAAGTGTGTGGCAAAGATCACCGCTCGTCCCTGTCTGAGACGCTCGATCAGCTGCCAGATGTCCTTGCGCGCCTTGGCATCCACTCCGTTACAGGGCTCATCCAGGATAACCACACTCGGCGAGGCTATAAAGGCAATGGCCACGCAGAGCCGTCTCTGGTAACCGCCGGACAGCTGCCAGGCGGCATAGGATTCGTGCTTGCCAAAGTTCAGGCTCTGCAGGGTGCGAGCCACCTCCGTGCGGATCTCCTCAGCGCCAGCGTTTTCCTCCCGCTCCGCTGACATTTTGATTTGAGCATAGAGCTGCAGGTGCTCCCGAGCCGTGAGGGTGGGTATGAGGATGTTGTCCTGCCAGCAGACGCCCACCTGGTGTTCCCCGGCCAGCAGCACCTTCCCACTGCTCTGTCTAATCTGACCGGTTAGCAGCTTGATCAGCGTGCTCTTTCCGGCTCCATTACGTCCTAGCAGACAGCTGACCTGATTTCGGGGAAAGTCCAGTGTGAGATTGGACAGAGCGCACTTGCTGCCATACAGCTTGGTCACATTGGCCATGGAGGCGCCCAGCTTGTCGTCCAGCTGAGACCGAGCCACCTTCACGAAGCTGTAGTTGGCTGGAAGACATTGGGATTTGGGTAAAAGGTAATCCTAACCACATGACAATGGAATACCCACTCTTCTTGTACCGCTGATAGGCCAGTCCTATGACCGCATACAGGAGAAAGTCCAGAAGGAACATGAGAAAGGCCATGGCACACTCGCTCCTGGCCGGACCCGAGGCAATGAGGTGACCCATCGTCAAGCCCTCCTGCTGCAACTCCATGCGCATTATCTCACCAAAGCCCTTGGCAAAGGCCGTGGTAAAGGACAGATCAATCAGGAAGCTCTCAAAGACACTTAGCTTGGCATCGAACATCAGGACAATGATGAAGGGACACAGCGTGATAAAGAAGAGCAGCGCCGTGGCAACCGCTCCAATGTTGGCCGAATTGAAGAAATTGGAGCACATGTAACTGGAATGGAGAGCAGGTAAGGGATTGAGTCTTTATCAATTGATTAGGGTCAGTGTCAGTGGGTCTGCTCACCAGAAGGAGATCAAACAGATGCCAAAGCAGAGGCAGTAGAACATCACGAAGAACCAGTTGGTATACGCCAGGATACCGCCACTGTACAGAACCGCACTGATCAGCATAAAGATCACACACAGCTCCATGAGACTCATTAGGGACCAGGCCACCAGCTCGGAATGGGCCTTTAGACCCATTGAACGCATTAACTGGGAAGGTGGATTGGATTTATTAAAGATAATAATTCCTTTCTAAGAATCCTGCCCAGACTCACCATGCTATTGCGGCTCTCCCGCATCCAGATGCGTTCCCTCACACACAGGGCCACGGCCACCACAAGGCCCAGCAGATAGGCCACCTGGACACCCTGGGCCAGATATAGGCCACGCTTAAACCTGCCAGAAGAACGACTTAGCTTTAGAACTCAATGAGTATCCACTCCACTTACACATCGTTCAGGAAGGCGGGATAGGGAAACTGTTTGGTGTAGAACTGCATGTCATCCACCTGGAACTTGGCCTTCTTGTCCTTGGACCCCCCAAGACCTCCCAGGAAGTCCAGGAAACCCTGTCGCTTGGTACGCTTGAGCACATCCTGATCTTTTAGCAGCATTAAATCGGGTTGTCCATTTAAACTGGGCTGATCTGTGGTTATAACCTGCTCGGTGGTGAGCCCAACCTCCTCCTCATCATCACCTTCTGATATAGGGGAAAGCGTGGTCTCGTCTTTGGTGTCTGTTAAGGCCTTCTTCGTGTTGCTCTCCGAACTATCAAAGTCCTCCTCGTCGTCGAAATCATCATCATCATCGGAATTAATAGCCTTGATGGTGAAGGAGGGAGTGGAGGTCTTGGCATCGCTCTCCTCCTCCTCTGGCAAGATGCCCGCCTCATCTCGCTTGGCCTTGATGATGCCCAGGTCCACCATCTGCTTGAGCTGGACAAAACCTCGATGGTACTTGAGATCAATGACCATACTGTCGGCAGGTCCGGGGAACCAGAATCTATTCCGATTCTCAAACGTTGGCTGCGTGTTGTCCGTGTCCATGTGCAGGCGATACGAGGACTGCTTGAGACCCACATCCTCCAGGTTGAGAGCGGCCAGAAATAGCTTGTTCTGATTCAGTTCATAGGCTCTCCTCTGCAGGCCCTCCAGTGAATCCACAGCCTCGAATCGATCCGCCGACACGCAGTCCATGAGGTCAGCCACAGTGTTCAGGATGTCGTGTATCAGCTGATTGGTGCGAATATACTGAAACACTCGCTCGATTTCCCCAATGTCAAAGTCCTCGCCCACCAGGCTCTTTACCAGCGGCGAGCGAGCCAACTTCAGGAGACTATCGAAGGCCTCTTGAAAGGTGGTATTCGTGTGGAGCTTGGTAAGGATTGTGGCTGCGGCACGAGATAATTGCTTCATGTTGTCCAGCTCCTCGAAGGAGGCATTGCTCTGGGAGAAGAAGAAAGAACCTGAAATAGGTATTATCAAGTCAAGGGTCTGGTAACTCACAAACTTGACCACATTTTTGGTGATCTCGTTGTCCGGATAGTACAAAATCTTGCCCTGAATGATGGGCTTGATGGTGTTCCAGGTGAGTTTACCCTGGTTAGTGGAAGTCACATCCCGGTAGAGTTGCTTGCAGTATTTGGCTGGAAGGATGAGAAGTTAAAGTTAAAGTAAGTCAATGGGAACTATGGAAACTGTCGGGCGTTATGAAGGAAGATAAAGAAAGGTTGCAACACCAAAGAAAGCATATAGAATGAAATATAAAAGCATTTAGGGTTAGCTTTCAAAGCCGATTTGTTGGAAATATAGCCAAGTTGTTAGTGTAAAAAAATCTCTAAGAAAAATGCTCACTTGGCCTCCAGTCTATGGGAAGGGTATCGGTTAGATGGCGACGACTACGGTGGCGGCCTGGAGGCAGAGCAAGATTGTTGGTTTGCACTTGGGTTACAAAGAGCTGGAAGGCTTAGCTTTGGAAGGCTACTACTCACTTGGCATGGCCTCCAGCTCCACGTCTTTGTCAGCCTCGCTAAAGTCCTCGGACTCCAGAATCTCATTAATTAGGGGAATGGTGTCCGTGCTGGGAAAAGGATGACCGCAGAGCAGGATGCCCAGCTTCACGAAGGTGTCGCGATCTGTCAAGAGGTTTGCTGTCAGTTTGAGTTATGCTATGTTTAACTTTAACCTACTCGAAAACAAGTGCTTGATGTCGAAACTATAGTTCATGCGTCGCTCTATTTCGGGCACCAAGGAAATGATTTCACTAATGTTACCTGAAAAATAAATAAAGACAGAAGTTAGCTAGCTATAAAGACTATAGAGACCCTACTTACTTCTTATGATGTCTAGTCTATCGCTGGTTATCAGCGTGGTTATGGCCGACACAAAGTTGGCCTTGTCGGCCAGCTCCACAACGGCCTTGCGCAGTTGTTCATCGGTCACAAAAGCATTGACCACATCGATCACAGAGTGAAGTCTATGGCAATCAAGGAAATTATATTAAATTTAGAAGAAAGGAGACAGTAAAGCTGATCTTACGGTGCTTCCTTCCAGCGGGAGTACTCCTCGTAGGGCTGCGCCCGCTGGCACCGGTTCTCGATGCTGCATATGTAGGAGAAGGCGGCGGGCACCACCTGGTTCTTGGTGGGCAGCAGTCGCGTTGGATACTGACAGGCCTGCACCTGCTCCGAGCCGTACTTCAGCCGGATGAGGTACAGCAGCATGAAGATTAGCACTGGCCAGGCCAGCAGGATCAGGCTGAGCACCTTCTGGCGCCATCGTACTATCAGGTCCTTGCGCAGCAGCTCCCGCACCTCGCGTCCATTCACATGCATGCCCATGGCTATCCCTGCTGCTGCTCCTCCTACTCCTCCTCCTCCCTGTCCTCAAAATCTGTTCTAATCGCTGGCTGAGATGGCGCGATCACTCAGGCATCTTTGTCTGCTGAGTTGTGGGAATAAGAAATATATATATTTTTAAAAATTTTAATGCAAAAGTAATCAACAAGAATTATTCATATTTTATTATTATTATTATTTTTTTTTTTTTTTTTGCTTTTAAATTCCGAATTGTCAATTAATAAATTAAAACTAAAAGCTATGGATGTATGTTTATCGAGAAGGCAATTTCCATATGATATATCGACAAATTATCGGCTTAATATCATATCGAAAATATCATAAACCTACATTATGTTTTTTATATCAAAAACTATCGCGATTGCCGTTCACATATATATATCTATTACGAAAAAGTAACCATAAATATATTGCAAATAAATCAAACTTTGATATGTCAAATTTTTGTTCATTATAATATCGCTTTCGAGGTTTCAAATATCGATTTATGTATCAAAAATATTGCCAAATTTTAAATATCGAAAATTTAACTGTCGCTCAATCTCATAATAAACGTAAATATATTAATACTATCAAAATTTGCCAATTTATAAATTATAAAAAATTAATAGTGGTAAATAATTAGCTTTGATATATTGAGAAGTATGCATATATCGCAAATGGCCAACTTTTATATATCAAAATTTTAAATATCGATATTATTTTTAAGTTATTTGTGAGATAGCGATTTCAATAATATCCATATTCTTAGGTTTCTTGTAGGATTTTTCTAAATGTTAATAATAATTTCGATATATTAAAGTAGCAGGAAAATATAAGAATATTTATAATAGAATATCTATAAACGATCTATATCCCGATGCCATAATTATATATCAGCTAACTAGCTCTGACTATTTGCGATTTGCAATATTTTCTATCCGTTTGCCGGCGGAAGAGAGAAACAGGTGTTAATCACATAGGATTTTGTTTCCCCAACATAATTAACCCCTTGTTGGCCGCCTTTGTTACGCTTGTCGCATTGCTAATTCGGGCTGTTTAGCGGCTCGCCTTGGCAGAAAAAACGCTTCCCGGTGTTGGCAGAAGAGCCATTTAATGACAATTATTGTAAAGAGTGTTTTGCCACTTAAATTGTATTATTTACCGGGGCGAGCATGCGCTCCGATCTGTGAGTCAGCGATCAGCAGCAATTATATTGACAGTCCATCGGTCAAGATATAGCTGGAATGACTAACTGCCAGCTACTAAGTAACTGTGAGCGTAGTAAGCCAATAAATGTCCTTAAGAAATGGTGAATATTTCATTGATTTTAACAAACATTTGTGATAGCTTTAGCTGTATGTTTGACATTTTCCCCTAAAGTTGTTTTCCCCGGCAAGGTTTAGGCCCTCATAAAGCTGTTATGGAGCTGGAGGTTGAGATGCTGGCGATCTTTATGGCATTTACAACGTTTAACTGGAAGATGAGCGGCCTCACTTTTTATTGTTTGGTGCTGTGACTTATGGTTACCTACATATGTTCGAACCCATGGAAGCCAGTTGCAAATGCTTTAGGTAATCATCTTCATTATTTTACATTTTTGCTTGACTAGTGTTGGTATATTTTCTATTAGCCAATTGCCAAGACTTCGATTAACGTTTATACTTGTAGCTGCTGAGAATATTTTCTGACCTATGCCCTATAGCTTGTATCGGAGTGGGAAAATCTCCGAGGCCGAGACAAAAGAATATTAAAGTGTGTGGCAATGTAAACATATACCACAAAGGTAGCACACACACAGTTTGGTGTGCCAAAAAGTTTGCATAAAAATATAAACAATAATAAACCTAAAAATAACTTTATTTCTGTTACAAAATTTAACTGAATTTAAATAAAGACAAGGTTTAAAATCCGATTTAAACATTTTTTTAAATAATAAAAAATTAAATCAAGTAGCTGGACAGGTATATTTGGTATACATTAAAATTAAATTAAACATGATCGAATATCATATTTTATATTTCCCTAAAGCTAGCTTCCAGCTATGTTATATGAATTGAATTTTATTGAAACATTTTACCTAGTTTTACCCTGTTTTACCCTTTATTTAGTGCTAAGCTGAAACGTTCTACTAATTTTAATAATTGGTTTGTTTATACACTGGTTTTTATATTGCTGATTATACTTCACTTATTATAATCACAACTCTGGTTGCGAGAGCATATAATTATATAATTAGATTGCAGAAAAGTGTTCAATAAACGTTTCTATTTTTTTGGTAACAATTATAGAAATTTATAATATTGTTTTAAAAACTTTTGTCTACAAAATTAAATAAGAAAACAGCCGGAAAGCCTTTACTTTATTAATTATTTTTTTAGAGATTTAGAGTATGTGTTTTTTTATTAAAACTAAGTCTGGAGCTTTTTTTTTAAATTTTTGAATATATATTTAACTAAATTTTAAACTAAAACAATAGTTTTCTTTAAATAAAACCCCTATTCAAACGCCGAAACTACTATCACCAACTGGTTAGTTAATATTGTGTATATGGAACCAGGTCTAGTATACAACCAGAGCCAGTTCCAAATCCACATTCAGCTGCATTTACTGATTAGTCAATCGCCTCTATATAGCATAATGTTGCACTGGCGCCAATGTCATCATCATCGGAGATTATCTAATACTTGATTGATCCCCGGCTAATGTTGCGTGAACCGATCGCTCCAGTTTTCCCACTGCGCTGACACAAAACGATGCCAACTATGCACATGTACTATATATACTATATATTATTTACAATATATATTTGTTTGTGACTAGCCCGGCTTATCAACGACCAGCGTTCCTATTCTGCAATGGTAACCTCATTCAGAGAACGAAGCCGACATTTATAAATAGAAAATTTTGGATGCAATTCTAATTAAATATTGATTATATATGATATTACTTAGGATTTTGATGAAACAGAGAAATGTAGAAATGAAGGGACTTATTCTTTAATTAGCAAGGTATTTTAAGAATGTTTCAAGTTCTTAATTATTTACCAACTAAGAATGATTACGAAGTAACGGCAATGGCAAGAATATTGATATTGAAATCGTTTAAGCTTCTTACTAAATATAAAATAATCTTTGCTTTATTATTAACAAATGTTCGTATTAGTTTTTATAAAAAAAACAATTGATTTAAATGCTTTAAATACAACCATTTCTTGGCTAAAATTAAATTAAAAATATGTAAATAAACTCTTTAAAAACATTAAATGTACTTTTCTGTGACTAAAATGTAACTATTTGGTATGCTTTTTGTTTAACTAATTTAACAATCCATTTCTTTAGTTATTTATAGCTTGTTTACTGCGTTGACCGGCAATTAGCATTCGGGAACTAGTACCCAAACAAGAGCTGGGTGGGAAGATTTTTGCCCAAAATGCAAATGTGTTAATTCCTTCGATTCCGGGCAGCAATTAGAGACTCCCGTCACGTACAGGTACAACACCTCGGCTTCAGGCCAAGTAATGTAATACCCAGCTGTGTTTTCAAATAGTTTTTGAATACAATCGAAGCTAAAAGCTAATACCACCGCTGGCGCTGTGATAATTAAAGTCCAGCGTTTATTCAGTTGTGAAACGGGATTTGAGCAATGTTTTTTTTTTTTATAGTATATAGTACCTTCTCCGCCGATATCAAAACTCGTTTTAATCACGTTTAGTCACTCAACAAAATGCAAGTGTATTCCTGGAATTACCCCAGACAGCGGGCACTTAAATGATTCTTAATCGAAAGTTCGTTTCTAAGACCTTTTCAGAGACACATAAAAAGCGATTAGATTAAACGTTATTTTTTTTGTATAAAACTGAACAGGTTTTTCAATATCTTCTTTATATATGTCAATTAAATAAATATTAAACAAGACACCGACAAAAAATTATGGACTAAGTAATATAATTTATAATTTATAATTATTATATTTTACTTTAATAAAATGCGGCTTAAGGGTTCCCTAAGTATACTTAATATATTTGAAACTTCTGAATTTATATCTTAACTTTTTATAGCAAGTTTCTTGCAGTGCAGAGAACACTCACCCACTAAACACGTAATCAGCATAAACATAAAACTCCCCCCCAGAGAGCCGTGAGCGGATTCTAGGCGTGATTTATCATTGATCTGTTGGCTAACTCGGATCTCGGCCCGACCTTGACCTTGAATCTTCACTTAATCGTTAAAAGCGAAATCAAATAGCAACTAACACTCACACATATACCACCTAAAACTCGCTAACTAAGCAGCAATATTAAAATAAATAAAGAAATACAACGGCGAAACTAGTTTGTCGACTTGGCAGAAGTCACCGCCGCCCAGAACCAGAACCCCCTGCTCACCATTATAAGAACGGATATAGTAGTATCTGTATAGTGCATTTTGTCTCGATGATTATCCCACTTAAATTTTATTTACAGGGCTACGAACTACCCACTCCCCTTTTTGATCAAAATAAATTGCGTGTTTTGCCATTTTTTACTTATTTTGATGGTTCAATTTATGCTTTAATTTATCTAAAAGTATTCCTATATCACTTTATTAATGTATATCGTGTTATTCTATATCTGGTCTGCTGATAAACGTCAGAGTTTTTCACAATTTTATCTCAATTAGCAGATTCAAGTTTTAGATTATATTGTTGTCTGCTTGAGAAATTAAATGCAATCAACGATCAATGGAAATTAAACCATTCAACAGTTCTGATTTCTGAGAAGTTTATTTTCTTTTGCACGTTTGTTTGTAGGAGGTAAAAAATATGTGTTAATATTATAGTTATCATATATATAGTTTCATATGGTGATTAAGATTTTCAAAAATATATTTGAAAGCTTGAATGTTTAAGTAAAATTCATGGGTCTTTTTTTAACTCTAAAACGTTGCTACAATATTTATTGCATATTTTAGAATTCTTTTTTTGGGGATAAAAATAATTTGAAGCTTAGTTAATTGCTTGGATTACATAAAATTAGATTTAAAAGCAGTATTAAAAGATGTTTAAAAATTTAATTTTTTTAACATTTACTAATGAATGTTTGATGTTACTTAAAATGGTTTATAAATATTTATAGTGTAATATTTAGGGTTTAAAGGTTTTAAAAATATATACAAATAATTTACTCCAGAATATATTCTTAAAACTAAATTATCAAATGAAAAGGAGTTTTAAATTTCCCTAAAATATGACCCACCAATCCGTTGGCTTTTTTGATACCACAAAAAGAACTAAAGGCAAATTTTAAAAGGGTGTCAATGAGCCATCTTTAGCCTCCGGCTCAGTGTCATAGGAGAGGCTGGCCTCAACCATTAACTGCATAATATAATATTTACTATACGATCTCTGAAGTTAAATGACAGTAGACGTCATTCTAAAATCAATTAATAAAGAATACTGGATGTTAAAGATTTATCTATATTTATATATTATTTTATAAAATACGAAAATTAATTATTGAAATATATATATGTATATATAAATATATTCAAATATACATATATGTATATATAAATTCGTAACTTTCGTATAAATCAACATATATTTCAATAATTAATTTTAATTTTAAATAAAAATTAAGATTTTCATTTGTAAAATGGAAAAGCCAATATTAAATATATTTCGAAAAATATTAAAAAATAATATAATAATAATATAATATAATAATATAATATAATATAGAAGGAATAAATAGTATATTTATTTTAATATTTGCACAGCTAGTTTGAAATCAATAATTACTTTAAATTAAAACAATAATTAATTTGCTTTTTACTGCAAAAACCGTAGACATAGATTATAAAATAATAATAATAATGTATAATATTTTCCAATAATAATATTAATAGCTTCCCAGCGATCAGGAAAAGACCCAATTCAAGTTTAATTTCCACTTAAACCCCGGACTCCGACTCCGACTCCGATATAACTCCACTTTGGATCGAATTGAATCGACTCGACTCCGATTCAATAAACGATCGGCTCAGCATGAGTCGGCAAGAACCGGCGCAGACTTGGCTATATTTATATACATACTTCCAGACGCTGGCGGATTCTGCCGCATATTTTATTTATTTATAAAACCCATTTTGCTGGCATAGGAAACACAGCAAACTTTTTTTTTTTGTTTTTTTCCTGTATTTATTCATTTATTTATGGCTGCTACTTGTTGCTTTTTCGCATTTTAAGCCCGCTCAGCAGCAGCAGCAGCAGCGGCAGCAGTAGTCACCAAGGTCGCAGCTTACATGTGCAAAAACTTGCAATGCAATTAACTCTGTCAAGTCGAAAGAAATAGTCGGCAGGGTGTGTGTGTGTGTGTGTGTATGTACGATAACCAGTCTGATAATAACCGTCCAGGGCCTTTGGAAGCGGTATGCTAAAAGCTACAAGATTTTATGGTAATACCGGTGATTATCAGCGACTAGGAAACGGAAGATATACATAGAAACAGAGAGTTCCTCCGGCAAAAGTAAGTATTTTTGTTCCCCTAATTTATTACAGAACACGTAAGACCCGAAACGAAATGTATTTATCACGAAATCAGCGTAAACTATAATTTTGCAATTTCTCCTCCCCAAAAAAACACATTATATTGGAGGTTAACTAAGGTGATTTAAGGAGTTGAAAGTTAAGAAATTCATATTTTAAGTGTATTTAGTTTTAATAATTAATTCAGGCATCTTAATTTGTTTCCATTATTTATTAATTTAATGATTCGAACTTATTCAGGCATCTTAATTTGCTCTTATCATTAATTTATTTAATTTTTAGAATTTATTCAGCCATCTTAAGTTGATTCTATAATTTGTACTTATTATTGTAAATAATACTTGATTAAAATCACTTTCTAAAAGCATTTATTTTAATGGAATTAAGAAGAAATACTCATATATTAAATTATGAATTCATTTAAGAAGCTGTAGTAACACCTTAAACTAATTATATTTTATAGGTAGGAAATTCGTAAAGGTAATATATAGAATACATACATACACAAATGATGTTCATTTAATTTTCTGCAGTGTATTCTCACGGCTTTTGTAACTTTTAAACTTTAAATTTAGTTTTTAATGCCTGGGAACAGACCATGTCGGAAACCTTCTAGCGGAAATCAACCGTTTACCACTTACACGTGTTAATTGCTTGGCTATGCACATTACAGATTTTATGCTTTACTTAAGTGCTCTTCTAAAAAAAAAGAAGGCTCTACCAAAATAGGTCAGCTTAAATACTAAGTGATTTCATAGAAAAATATATGGAAATAATTATTTTAGAGATATAAAACAAATACAAATTTAAGTAATTAAATTTTGCATGAAAATCTAAAATAATATGTAAATAATATATAAATACATTTATTTATAAAAATATATAAATTATAAAATTTTATGCTATATTCGATGATTTGATTTTATGTGGATTAAATTATAAAGTAAACATTTTAATATAACTTTTTAGGAACACATAGTATATATATTTTATTTTTATTTGTATTTAGATTTATAAATACTTTATAATTACCCGAATAAATCTTATACAAATTTCCAACACATAAACTTATTTAAAAACCTATAACGAATGGATAATACTATTTTTTTTTATTTTTTAGTATACCAAAAATCTAATAGAATTAATTTTATTTAAAGAAAAACAATCTCTCTCTACTAAAACCTTAAGACCAAGTAATAATTTATATTTCCCATCAACAATTTAAAACATTTCAGAGTATTTAAAATTCCCATTGTTTCCTTATTTTGTTTCTTCAGGTTTTCACTTTCATCGGCTATTATTGCCACCTTTTTTTCTTGCTCATTTGGCTTTTAACAATATATTTTAAAGTCTTTGTGTTGTTGGCTAAGGCATTTGGTATGGCCAATTTCCAATTTGTTCATTGCTTTTGTTCCGCTCTGGCCTTTTTTTTTTTTTTTATTTTTTTTTTTGTTTTTGTCTGCCCTTTTTGTTAACATTACTAACATTACTGCAAACAATCCACTCTGAAAAAAGTGGCCACAAAAAACGTGCCAAGAAAAGCGAAACACAAGAAACGTTAACCCGTAAATACTAATAAATAAAAAAGAAATACAAATATTGATTTAAATAACGAGTTTAGTTATTAATACACTGCAAAAAAATATGAGCAATTTAAGTAATGAATTGGGATTTGTATAAATTTATACTTTTTTATATGTTTAATTATATATTTATTCATCGATTCTGTACGATATTTTAATGTTATATAAAAGTCCATGATAATTGTAATAGATATTTTGTAAAATGAAAATGTATATAAGTTTAAATATAATTAAATATTAATCTAATCAAAATTATGCTAATATATTAGTTATATTATTAAATTATATAAATTATTTAATTTGATTTCGAGCTAAACATTCATGTAAAAATATCTTAAACATTGTTTACCTTTTAAGAAATCACTTTAACAAATTTTAATTAAAATTATTTTTTTGAAAGATGTGTAAAAATTTCAAAAAATAAACAAAGAGCCTGTAAAAAGATATTACTATTTTTTATTATTATTACTTTTTTCTTGTTGTATTCAATTATACTAAAAGAGTATATGGAAATTTTAACAAAAGACCAATTATAAATATTTTTCTAACTGGACGTACACATACCTTTCTTAAACAATTTTAATTTTTATTAAATATAATCAATGCCCTAACAAAAATGTGTTTAAACTTTAAAGTAAAAACCTCAATTAAAAAGAAAGCACTTAAAATTCCAAAAAAATTCTCGCCGTGTAACCTTTCGATATTGCAAAAGGTAACTGCCTTATTACCAAATAAAGTTTGGCAAAGCCAATAAATAAAACAAAAGAAAACAAAGAACTTGGTGACTTACTAACCCCTCTAGCTTGTTGTTGTTGTTGCTGCTGCAGTGGCGTCTCTTGGTACTTCTTCTTCTTTTTGGTGTCTCTCTTCGCTTTGCCTTAGGTATTTTTGTTTTTTTTTTTTAAGGTTTTTCGGTCACTAAAGTTGTTTACTTCACACACGGCGGCTTTCTACACATACACATGTACATATTCTTCACTTCTTCTGCAGTTGCATCTTTACGCTCTCCCTTCAACAATCTCTCTCTCTTTGGAGCTTCCGCTCTTGTTCGCACAGGTGGCACAGGTAAAAAAATATATAAAGGAAGCTAAGACTGTTAATTAAATTTAAAATGAAACTGAAACCAAAACTAAAACTTAAATTGAAACTGAAGCTGGCTCAGACTGAGACGTCCGCCAACAATGCTAGCCGCAATTGAACTGAGCTTGACTAAACGCGCTTATGGAAAATTATTTAATTCCGCTGCCAAGCCGCTGCTCCACTGCTCGCTGCCTCGGCCGGCGTCGACGTCGCTGCGATCGCCAACTTCTAAGCAACTCCCTTGTTGTTGTTATTGTGGGTTGGCGCATGTGTGGGCGCAGCAGAGGCACAGGAAAACTTGATTCCGGTGCATAAAAAAATATTTTAAAAATGTATTTAAATAATATATTTAAGTTCAATAGTATGAAAACATTTTTAAAATTTTTTCCGCCATATAAAAATTTTTAAATCAAAGAAATCAGCTAATTTCAAAAATTTTACAGATCAGAAAACCAAAACACAGTGGAAAAAACTAAATTAAGGCGCAGGAAAACTTGATTTGGTGCATAAAAAAATATTTTAAGATATGTATTTACATAAGATATTTAAGTTTAATAGTATAAAAACATTTTTTATTATTTTTCTGCCATATACAATTTTTTTAATCAAAGAAACTACCAAATTAAAAAATCTAACAGATGTGAAAACCAAAACACAACTATTTTCAATTAAAAAAAAATTGTTACTTTAGAAAAAAATCCAAAAAATTAAAATTTGGAAATTTCAAGCGAATTTTCTCCATCTTTTGTGTAGAAATTAAGGGTGGGATTTATTTATACTATAGTTTCACAGTTACATTTTCATAAATCTGGCTTAGATCGGATACCAACTGCACGCACATCTGCCTCTAACTGTTTTTTTTTTTTTTTTTCTTCTTCGTTCTAACTCATTTTCCGGATTTCGTGACACGCAATTAATTAGCCCCGTCTTTTTTGGGGGAAACACTAATTGCAGCCCTCGGCAATCCGGACAACTGTACTTAATTCGAATGAAATGTCAAAATACAAAAATCCCTTCACAAAACCACGAATCCCCCGAATTAGCGCCAATTTAAAGAGTCAGTCGGGCATGTAAAGAGGGCTATAACGTGCGCACTTTGTACCTGGACTGAAGCGATTCCGATTACGATTCTCCGATTCCGATTCCGGCTAGCTCCAGCCTAATGAATCGGAAACCCAAGAATGATATAAGCATTGGCGATGACTTGAAGAAATTCTTCAATTTGAAGAATATAAGTTGATGGTTATATATTTTAGGTACATCTAATTATTACCTATAGGTATCTTATAAGATTGATTAGTGTCAGGTATTTACATTTTTGTGCCTATCGAATATTTATATAAATATTTTTATTTATTTGAGTATTCATATTAACAATATTACCTTTAAATCATTTTAAAAAAGTACCTTTTGGTAGTACTTGAACCTGCAACTGATCGGCTATTAACTTTCAAGTTTATCATCAAATTTTACTTTATTTTTTAGACAACATACGCTGTTATTTAATATATTAATTATTAAAATAGAAAATCGAAAATAATATATAAAAAATACAAAATATATATAATATAAGCTTTGCCTAAGATCCTTATCGAAGTTTAGATTGTAACCTGAGACATTTTATGTTTAGTTCTTGTGCCAAGTCTAAGCAATTGTCAAGTGGTTTTGTATCTAAAGTCAGAAATTCCTGTGTGCCTCTCGCCCCGGGAATCTGGCGAACCAGAACCAGAACCATTCTCATTCTCAGTCGGATTCGCATTCCGTGTCCAGCGACAGCGAAAGCCGCGTTAAAATGTCCAAAAGTTGCGCTTGGCTGCTTATCATTTGCGCATAATTGCCAAAGTCATTATGGCCGAAATCGTAAAAAGACACAACCACAGATGGAGTTAAACATTTTTAAATCTGAACTCTGAAATTTATTATTGGCCAACCAAAAAAATAAAAAAATATTCAAGTAGCACTAGAGTAATTATAATTAAATTTAAACGAGCCCGAAACAAAGAACTTTAGATAATATTAATTTCGCAATTGCCGGTTCCATGAGCCATGCTTTATGGTAGAAGAAGATATTAACTATAAATTTAAGCCATGTTTATAATTATAAATGTTTTTGATTGTAGAGAGAGAGATATCATCACAGAATAATCATTTAAAATACTTTGTTTATAAAATGAATCATCAAGGATCAAAATCCTTTTACTAACTGAAATCAACTGAGGTTTTGTGATTATGTACGCTTATAGAAACGTTTATAATTTAAAGGATTTTAAATGTAAACAATATATATTAATTGATTATATTTTTCTGCTTTCATTCAGTACTCATTTTTGGGAGCTGAAAAAAGTTCGAAATAACTTGAACTTAGAGAAATTTTTTGAGATCATCATTCCGGGTTAATTGGGTGAGTTCGTTCACTGCGAATTTCCATTAAGCCGAAACCATTGTTACAACACTGTTCAGAAAAAAGTATATGTATATTCAGTCAGGAAGTCTGTGGGTTGACTCAATAAGCTTACACTGCAACACTTTCTGTAACAAAACCGTTGAATTTCAGGTCAAAATCTGTTTATACGAAATTTAAAATTACTTTTCGGTTAATTTTTTATTGATTTATTTTAAAAATATAATAGTAATAACGAGCTGATTAATTTTTCTCTTAACTTTCGTTTAACATCCGCAAGGCTCCTGTCTTAAACTTTGTTGTCTCCTAGGGATTAGCCACAGGTTGGGTTTGGCCTTTGGCCCCCGCAAGGTCAGTGTTGAAGCCAATCAAGCGGCAAAATGTCATCCAACAACACATTCATAAATAAACAAGAAAGAAAAGCAGCTTCTGGAGACCGAAGCTCAGATACCCTTGTAATAATATATTTTATTTGAATTTATTTAAAAGAAAAATTAAATAGTTAGTGTTTGTAATTAATATTAATGTAAAAAACAGCCTCATATTATTAAGAATACACAACTCATCTATAAATATCTTAAAGTAAGAATATTTATATAAATTTAAAAACATTACAAAGGGTTACTAAATAAATAATTGCTGCAACAGATGCTAACAAATAAAAGTGGCGCTGGTATCGAAAGGGAGGAAGCTGAGATGTTGCTACTGCCATCGTAATCACATTTTGCAGTTGTCAATAGGCAGAGGCAGGTGTACATACTTATAAATCTTTATATGTTAATATTAGCTTAGCTAAACACATACAACAGTTAGCGCGTTGACTTAAATTCCACTTAAATGCTATTATAAGGCATTGGATTTGCAATACACAGAGTCATGATTATTTTTATTCTATAGAAATCTAAAGCTTTTCTACAGTTTTTCCGATTTTAACTTAGAAAAAGACTCACGGAAATCCACGTATGTACATATGTATTTGCTAGATGGGATACAGTTTTTACTTCCGGAAAATCCTCAGAAATTTAAAGTTTGCTTTTTTGAGGAAATTAACAACAAAAGCAATTTATTGTTATATTTATAATATATTAAGTATTGTTTATTTATTATTATGTATTAAATTTGAGATACAGAAACACTTGAAGGCTTACTTCACATCCTTCAACTGTTGATTTCTTTCCTGAAAACAATAAGAAAATTTGATCCTTAGTTTATGTAAACACCTTATTAAATTAATTACATTACACGGATTGATAATCCGATTACAATTTTTTCCACTTTTCAACTTTGTAATTTTTTTTCTCAGCTAAACTTGTTAAATGTAAATGTTTCTTCTTTGTTTAAAACAAAGCATTTCAACAAGCTACTTATTCTTGACATCTCATTTAAAATTAGTAAAGGTTTTCGCATACAAGTCAGATTAATTTTAAGTCGTTTTGTGACTTACATACGTTAGATTTATTGTCTTGAATCAATTTAATCGTCAGGTTTTCAAGAATAAGTTAAAAGAATAAGTTAGGCTGCATTTAAATTTTTAAATAAATCATTTAATAAAATTTAATATAAAAAGGGATATTCCAGAGAAATTATTTATATTTTATATAAACAAAATATATTGCTTTGTAGACAAGTTTAAACTTTCCAAGTCATTCGTGCGTTTATATTTACGATTATTTAGATAATGTTTGGCAGGGCTATTTTTCTATATTATAATTCTTTTAACCAGTAAATTATAATCTAAAGTTAGAAATAATTAATTATGTATATGTAATTTAAGCAACTTCGATAAAGCTGAGGTTCTTTGAACAGAAAATGTGTGAAAAAATGGAGTATGTATTAAATATATATATTTATTAAAGCAAAAAAAAGGTTAAAACTTTAACATTTGCCTAAAATGTACTTGTGCTTTCCGGGAAAACAACAAAAAGCTAACTGTTATCGGCTATCGATAGTCGCAAGCAGCTTATATACCATAATAAATATATATTTGTATAAAATGAAAAAATTATAAAAATTTTCTTAATTGTAATTGATGTGGCTTAAAAACAAAAAAATATTATATTTTAGCATGAATTTTTTTTTAATATTTTGCAATAAAAACCGTTATTAATATTTCACAATACCAAAACGAAGACAAAGCTCTCTGAAGCTGACTGATATAACAATAAAATTTAGCAAAATATAATTGAACAATTGTTTTTTATGATACCTTTTCCTTTATTCAATTAAAGCCATTTTTATATGAACCGTTTTTCACTCTTATTTAAAACATATTATTCCTTGTGATTAACAGATTATTATTTGAAACGCCTCCTTGGTACTTTGCGCGCCTTTGTGTTGTAGCACTCAGCTAGTTTATGGCCAACACAAAAATACCAGACTAAAGTAACGGGAAAGAAACTAGTATCGATTGGCCTTAATCGATATTTTGAAATTGAAATTTAAACTAGAAGAGAGCTAAAATGCTTAATTCTCTTGTTTTGTCTCCATTTATGGTTAGAATAATTCAATAAAAAAAAGAAATTAATCATTAAAAATGAATTTAGCTCGATAAATAAAACCAGGTTTGGTAAAACAAATTTTTAACTTGGGTTTTCCACGTCAATAGGAAATTAAATTTAATTTTTTATAAATTAATTTAATAAGGACAAACAATAATAATTAAACACTAATTAAAGTTTATTAAATATTAAAAATAAAATAAAATTTGTAAATTCTAGAAATTAATAATTCATAGAAATATAAAAAAAATGTATTTACATTTGTATATATTTCTATTTATTTATTAAAATAAAAAAATAATATAAAGTTGATGCTCATTTCTTTACCCTTCTCCGACCACAACAGCTGAAGTCCTTCTCGCCTGAGTGCACCTACCCCTCTGGCTCCTGGCATCCTTCTCGAACGAACACTTCTCCCCCCACCGAGCAGGCCGCGCCGCACCTGTCACTGTCGATGCACGATACCCAGCCGGTGGTTGTTGCATTGCCACCCTTGGCTAGCCTCACCTGGGATAATTGCATTCACTCGCACACGAAGGACTCTAGCGACAGGACCTATTGGAATCGAGCCCCGGGATCGCGCAATGAAAACCCGTCAACTGCAGTCGACACAGACTTCGTGTCGTTCGAAGCAGTGGGTCCCGCCTGGCGCTGGGATACCGTGCGAGCGGGAGCGGAAGCACGAGATGGCAGCGCGGGAGCGGGAGGAGCAGGTGAAGCGGGACAGGGCGATTGCAGCGGCGGCAGCGGCTGCCCAGCGGGTGCGGCAGCATCGCATGATCAGCACCGATAGGTATCAACCCTCCAACCGGGGCAGGATGGCGGCAGGAGCACTCAAGGCAGGCAGGCAGGGAGCAGGACCAAACAAAGTATATGGCGTCAGTGGGAGAGCAGCAAAAGGAGGTGCGCAGACTTCATAAACTAATCAATTTTTAAAATAAATTAATGAATTAAATAATAAGTAGATAAAATTTTTAATCATTATTTTTAGGAACCTCGGAAACCCAAAGGAAGGCAGAGCCGGGAGACCAAGAATCCTCTGTGAATGCCCAGCCACCTCTTTCGAAGCGGGATTTTGGGCCCAGCGAAGCCAAGACGGATCGGCTGAGGATCCAGCTCGAGGAGCTGACCCAGCTGCCGGAGCAGCAGTTCGAGCAGGGATTCCGCCAGTGGCTGGACCAGGAGGGCATAGCCCGCGAGATGCACTCCCACCTGCGGGCGGAACTCATCAACTGCTTCAATAATACGGCACTGGGTAGGTACAATAAAGATATATAAAATGTAGATCTTCCATGAACTAATCCTTGATCCTACAGGTCAGCTTCTGAACAAGGCCGCCGGCTTGCAGATGGCTCAATCGCACGCCCTGCTCACCTCGCCGCTGGCCATGGCCTTGCCCACTCTGGTGGCAGAGTTCCTGCACTCCCAGAACTGTCACTTCACTTTGTCCGTATTCTGCAGCGAGATGCCCCATCGCCATACGTTGCCCAAATTCGAAAACCGGCCGGAGTTCCGTTTCCGCACGGATGAGCTGCAGCAGGTCCTTAGCGCCGTGCTGGGCGGTGGTGACCAGGAGCTACAGCCGGACCCGGAGTTCAATCGTTTGGTAGAGGGTCACTACGAGGAAGATCTGGCAGGTCAGACCCAGAGTCTGCTGATGGCACTCATGCGGTCGTTGGTGGAAATCAGGAGGCTGGCAATTGCACGCGAGGAGCAGGAAGGGGAAAAGGAAAAAGAAAGGGTAAAGGAGCAGGAACGAAAAGGGGTGAAGCCTGTTGATTGTTCCTCCCAAACGGAACCGGCTGCCTGCCTGGAAGCTCGTCCCGGTGTGGACACCAGTCGCCTCTACCAAACCGAAGAGCAGGAGCTTATCCTCGGCGCCGACGGCCGAAGCGTCTTTGTGGGACCCCGCGTATCTCAGGCCCTGCATGCCGTCGAGCAGCAGATGGCAGACTTGATGAAGAATCTCCGCCAGCTAACAAAATCCTGTGCCCCGCCCGTGGAGGTGATATCCGAGGAGTCCTTCGAACAGCTCATCAAGCGGGAGCTGCGTGAACGCGATCGTCAGACCAAAGCGGGCAAGACCTTTAATCCCAGCGAGCCGTTGATCAAGCTGCCTGAGAAGCCACCCAAAAAGAAGGCCAAGACCAGCAAAGATGACGAGGTGGTCAACTCTGAGCTAGGACCCATCATACTACCCGCTGGCGATGTGGAATTGCCCCATTTACTGCCATTGCATCCGGAGCAATTCTCCAGTCTGGCGGTGATTCGGCAATCGCTGGACAATGCCCAAAAGAAAACCCGTCAGCCGCAGTCCCGGATGTTCGTCTCCGTTCAGCGCATGGAGACCCTAATGACCGACGTCTGCGGCTGTGTCCAGCTGCTGGGCAACGTCCTGAACCTCTCCATGGAGCAGGAGCATGCGGTGGGGCAGCAGAAGGGCTTCAGAGACGGCTACCTCGAGGGCTTTGGTCATGGTCACTTCATGGGCCTTCAGGAGGGGAGGCTAAGGGAGCAGCACGACCGGACCAAAAACCAAAAGGAAACCTCGACCCAGGTGCGAGAGCACGTGCCCACCGTGAGCAAGGCCACCCAAACGTCCAGAAGGAAGTTGGCGGCAAAGAAACACATGGAGAGCCAAACGGATGCCAAGTCCATGGGCGATGCCTCGATTCAAGTCAACGTGGATGTGAAAGCGCCGCCCAAGTCCTACGATAAGTGGATCCACGAGATGCTGCACAGCGCCAGCGGCCAGATGTTCCTCAACCGGGTGGAGATCTCTCTGAACAAGGCCCTCAAGCTGCAGAAGCAGCGACTGGACGAGCTCTATCTGGTGAAGCTAAGGCACCAGGCGGAGATGCTGAAACTCAGCAGGAGACAGATCTCTTGGCGGGTAATTATATATTATTAATTAATAATTAATTAAGTCATTAACTAATTAATAAATCCATAGACCCTGTGCCGTCGCGTCGAACGTGACTCTCAATTATCCGCCGAGACTCAGGATCTTGTCCAAAAGATCTTCCGCCTGCTGGAGCATTACGAGACCCATCACCACATGCTGGTCGAGAAGATTCAACAGACGGAGATTGCCGCCGAGCAGGCCACTTGCATTGTGCCCTTGTGGACTGGTCAGGAGCGAACGCCAGCTGTTGAGGCTTCAGCTTCAGCTATCCTCCCATCTTCCTCTTCTGCCCTCACGTCCAAGCCCGTAAAGCTGGAGGTAAATCCCCATCCAAGTAACTCCAACGTTAAGCCCCATCCATACCTGGGTCTGGCATATCCCTTTCAGTTGGTAACGGTGGCCCCGCCAAGTGGGATACAAGTTTCCACTGGCTATATACCCGTGGATCCGCGTTTGGCAGCGCACTGTCGGCATTACAGAAACTCTGATTCCAGTGATCGTGGGCCTGAAACGGGAGTAGGACCTGCAAGGAAATCAATACTCCCTAGAACCGATGTTGATGGCACCAAGGATCTTCCTAAGACTCTTCCTTCGCCAGTCCCCAGTAATCATCCATCCGGAGACGAGGCTCACGGTTCTCCTCCTGTAAGTCTGGCCAGAGTTGATCCTGTACCGGCAAAGGTCAGTGCGCCCAAGGAAGCTCCCTCTATGGCCACTGTTCCCAGTGTCCCTGTCTCAGGATCTTCCCAGCAATTAAAGGAAAGTCCACATGAATCCACTCCCACTCCCGTATCACCTCCTTTAAAGCCCTCAGTACATGATGTGGCCACCAATACCATAGAACCACCACCACCACCACCACCACAGCCCATTCTATCCCTAGGTCAATCTTCCCAAGGTCCCAGCTTCGAAGAGGCTCTACTGAGTGCCAAGTAAGTTTAGTAGCTCCTTGTCATCTTCAGCTTAAAGTAACTTAATGTCCCGACAGAAATCGCATGAAGCAGCTGGAAGAGGAGAGCGACTTGCTCGAGCAGAGCTTCATCAGCTATCTGGAGAAGTCGAAGGCCAACACGCCCATCCCAGGCGGCAATCAGAAATCCCACAAGGAACCCCTCAAACCGCGAAGGATTCCCTCAGTCTCTCAGCACGAACAATTGGATCGCACCTTGGACAGCTTTATGGAGCGGCATCGAAGGACTCGACTCCAGGAAAATGAGGCTCTGAGGGAGGGGGAACTGCAAAACCAGCCACCTAGGCTGGACTCCAAACTATCCTCGCCTCTGTGGCTGTCAGAACTGGAGGAGGGCCATGACCATGACAAGTATCATTTCACAAATGCCATTTCCGAGGCACGCAAGAAACTGCTGGACGAGATTGGTCTGGAGAAGAAGGTAGCAGAGATGGAGCACCTGGAGCAGGAGAAGAATCTGCAGCAGCCGGAGCAACTGCAGCCTTCAATGGATTGGATTCCAGCAGAGATGCCCAAGGTCCTTAGTGTCGTCAAGCCAACAGAACTGTTCGATATCACGCCCTCGCAGAGCAGCAGCAACGATGAGATGAGATTGCTCCTCCGGCGGGCCAAGGATGCACTCGGCCTGCGGTCTCCTAATCCTCTGCTGGATAGCAGCAGCGACAGCTCGAACTTGGAGGATCCCTCCCTGCGAGTGAACCGATCTCCCAGTCAAAAGCTCCAGCAGTCCATGGCCAAAATGGAGCTACTCTTCGGCGGCCCCCTGGTGTCAAGCAAAGCCAAGTCCTTCGACCAAAAATCTTCAAAGCTCAACAAACCTGCTGTGAGACCTCTTAGTGCTCCCACGACCGGAGCGGAGAATGTGAGACTTGTGCCGCCACGGCCACACACTGCACCCACTCTCTATCCTATCCAGGAATCGCAGCCGCCTCCCAACCTCCAGCTGGACATCAGCACTAGCACTAGCACATCCCAGAGCAGCCTGCCCGGAAAGAGATCAGCCGGTGGGTCGTTTGAGGAGCTGGTTGCCAGCGCGGTAATGGGTCCGGACACCACGCCGGAGGTCTCATATAGCCAGGAGTTCTGGAAGCGCATGAACTTATAGTTTAAGTTTTTTTTTTAATTTGGTTTAAGAGGTCATAAAAATGTATATATCAAAACGGAGGCTATAAAGTGAGTGCGGTATTTCAATAAATAAACAGGGGAATGGTTTAAAATGTGTATATAATGTATAATTTGTAAGAAAATTATAAATATATAGACGATTCTTTGGTAGATCTTTCAACTTTCGGCGCATCTTTTAATCTTAAATCTATATATTTTATCTATATATTTTTTTTTAATTGTTCATTTTTCGATATATTAACTTTACCACATTTTCGATATTGTATCGAAAGCGATACTTTTCATCATATTAGACTTTGGCTATCGATAAACATGTCCTGTAGTCCTCCTTCTGAAATGGGTAACCTTTTTCATTACAAATTATTCAACTAATTTATATTTAGTAGCTGCTTCTCATTTTGTGTCACTAGGCTAAGCATGCATAGAAATAAATACCGTTATTTCCCCTCCACATTTCCCAGTTTAAAGTTATTTGTCAGCGTGAGACACAATATCCTGCGGCTTAACAGGATACGATTACATGGTTAACCTCCTCCAATAAACCAACCCAATTTACTCGTAATAGTTTTTTATTTTCTCAATCACCGCTGGGGGCCTTTCTAAAATGGGTTTCAGTGTCCCAGTTGCAGACTTTCACAATTTAGAATGAATGTGATTATTTTCAAAAGCCAATTGTGTGAAAGTTAATAGAACTGCAGACATAGAGATTGACATGAGTTGATGATTTCATTATTTATTAGTTATTGGAAATTGCTTTGGCGTCAAATCACAAACGAAACTTCCTTTAAAGCTCAGAGGGACTTTTAATACAAATTCTGAAAACTAAAGGTGAGGTTGTGCCTGACTTGGAACTCACCTGGTCACCGGGGTTGCTTGAAATACCTAAATTAATTTAAAAAATATTAAATTAATATTAATTAAAAAGAAATTTAAATTAAACCCCAACTAGAAAAAAGAAACTGTCAATTATATTCTTTGTGCCAAAAATTGTGCGCATCAGTTTATTAATTTTTAGAGACCTGTGTATTTCCATATAAGCTAGTATACATTTATATATTTCAATTTGATCTGCCTAGAATTGTGCGCATTTACAGATATACATATAAACCTTTTATTTATATTGTATTATTATAATTTTAATAGATAGTTGTGCAGAATATTTCCTTAATAAAAACATTACTTATTGGGGGTAATGAGCTCATGTTTCCGCCAAAGGCAATATGAATAATAAGATGCGTAACGCCATACTCCAATTTAGAACTCTCTTGAAAGTTTGTTGAATAATGAGAGAGAAAGAGAGACAGTTAGCACTCTCTTAAAACTACGCATGAGTTTACACGTATTCTCAAGCATTCTAGATCTGCCTGTAAACGCTCCTAATTAGACATTAGACGAGTCTTAACTGAGGCTCACATGCTTGGCCGTTATGCACCTTGTTCTTTATATTCTCTTTGGTGTTATGCTTTTCGGTTTTAGTTCTTGGATAGGCTAGAATGGCATTAGTATTTCCTTAGACGGCTGTGCCATTGATGAGGTCATAGGGATCTATTTGATTGATGCCAAAGAGACTGGCATGGGAGCGCCGCCTCTCCCTTTCGATTTCATCGAGATCGAAGGCTTCACTCACGAAACTGGATCGCCTTTGGGGATCATCGAAGGCATAGCCCCGTTGGAATTTTGCCGGCTGTCCGACGACTCCGGTGGTGGTGGTGGTTCCTGGTCCCATCACTCCACCGGATGTCGGGTATATCGGCTGCGGGTGCTGCTGGTAGCCATTCGAGTAGTTTGACGGCGACGAGGGTATCGCCGCTGGCCATTGCACCTGAGATTTGGGAGGCGGCGGCGGAGGAGCCTGCGAGACCTGCGGCAAGGCCAAGGTGGATAGGTAGCAGTTTTGCTGGGGCTGCTTCGTCTGGGAGTTCAACATCAATTGTGAGAACCTCTGCTGGCTGGAACCCAGGCCGAAGCCACTTTGCAGGGAATCAGACGACTGGCGGAGGAAGCAGCGCGGCAGGGTCCGGCTCTGGCCAAGATCACTGGCCGGCGGCAGGGACATACGCATATTGGGATAACCACCCACTCCAGGATAGCTGGGATCCGTGTGCAGCGAAAGGTTCGAGTTCAAACGGCGCAATGTCTGACCCATGGAATCAACGCACATCGACGACCGACGCGGCACCACCAGCTGGGCATGATCTGAAGACAGGTAAAAATATGTATATTTTAGCATTAACTTTTGTTATTCATTAAAAAATTTTAAACCCACCTCCCACAACATAAAGGTGGTCCTCCTCCAAGCGGAACTGCCTAAAACCGTGATCATCCCCATCGGCATCATCATCGTCATTGTCTGTATTGGGATTTCGATTTGGACCTGGACTGGCAAGGGGATCCTCCCGCTTGACCCCGTCTTCGCCCTGGCCTTCTTCCTCGCCTTCGTCTCCGCCACTGATGTAGTAGATATTCTTCGGCTTGCTGCGCATCCCGGCTCTGCGGCAAAACTCCTGAAACAGTTCGTCCTTGGTCTTACGCAGTCCCCGCTTCAGGCCGCATAAACGCGACTGGGCATCGTCTGGACCAGGACCCGGACCCGGACCCGGACCCGGACCCGAACCCGACCTTGATCTGGTATTGGTGGCCATGTTCCGCTGCTGCTTCCCCTTCATCTGGGTGTTAGATGGTGCTGGGGCTGGTGGTGCAGTATAAATATCCGTGGCAGTGGACACCGAACGGGTCAGGGGAAATTCCTGCGGCAAATCAGCAAAAAGGGCAGGAGCAGGCAGAGGATCAGGCATGGGGGCAGGAACGGACGTCTCGCTGCAGAGTTCGTTCAAAGACTTGGCGAAGCTGCGAGAGTGTAGGTTGCACTTGGAGACTGCCGGCTTCTCAAAGTAGAAGCTGCAAAACGTAATTAATTTATTTATTTATTTCATAATGATTAATTAATAGCCTCACTCACCGCCTTGCCAGATCGTTGTTTAGGTTCAAGTTCGATCCAGCATTTGGATGCTTGCGACAGGCTCCCGGCAGGGTCTGCGCCTGCCCGGGATAGCCCATCTGCTGTCCAAGATGTCCTGGCAAGCCACGCCGCGCATCATGCACCTGATGCTGTCGGGCATTGACGGTGGTGCTCCGTAGGATGCCGGACTGCTGCTGCTGCGGCATTACCGCCTCCTGGTGATTGTTCCTTTGTGGCTGCAGCATGTCCCGGCTATTGCGGTTCTGCACACTGAGTCCTTCCTGGCTGCCGGCGTTGCCGGGCTGCTTGTATCGCTTGTAGGAGTGGCTCATGGGGTGCTGCTGGCCCTCCTTGAACTTGGCCTGCATATTGGCCACGCTGAAGCAGGGCAGCCGCTGTGGAGGGGAAGTACGTATAAGTAAATTGATGGGAAAATGCAGAAAATACGCGTATAGGATGCGTCCTCAAGGGACAACTCCTGCAATATAGATGTGCATTTTAGCTGAAAGGTTTTTGCACTTAAGCAGCGAAAATATGAGGTGGCCAGGGGCTGCCCTAAGGATTCAAGGTTGTACATAGGTGATGAAAATCAGTCTGAAACTAGTGATGAAATTAGGTTAAGTATTTACAGAATTTAGCTAATTTCTCTGCCCGATTTCTGCCGACATGCACTAACGATATCGATAAAAATAATTAATTAATGAATTATTAATTATTTTGGGTATATCTCATGTTTAAATATTGGGAGTAATTGTATTTAAAAGTCAATATCATCATTACCATTTTAAAAGGTCCGAAATATCAAACATAATATCGATTTATCGCAGTTTACTATTTTAAAATACATAAATCGATTTTTTTAAATCGAAATATATCACATTTGGCTTTAATTATCGATATAAAAGAAAGAAAAAGATGTAAGGTAAAAGAAAAAGGTATGAGAAAAATTCTATGCATTTATTTGTTATCTTATTCCATTTATATTCTTCCGATTGTCAAAGGAATATGTATTTATCGAGCAACAAACCGTTTAAATATCGATTTATATATCGACTCTAGCGTTATATATCAATATAATATTGATATACCGGTGTTTTCTGCCATGACTTATACTTAAAAACTATTAAAAACCTTATTACTCTTAAAAAAAAACACCACAAAATGTATACCCAACGATTACTTACACTGTAGTAGCTGACCTCCTGCAGGTTTATAAAAAGAAATATATTTAATACACCCACAAATTCGGTGACAATAAATCCAAAGACGAAAAGGAAGAAGCTCTGGCCATATGTGACCTTGACGAGGGCCGGCTGAAGGGGGGATCGGGGTCGCAGCTTGGACCCAATCTCTGCCTTCAGTATTGATATATAGGCAATCAGTCCAATCAGCATTACCAGACCTGTGAGAATCAAGGGAAACTTTTTTTCTCCTCCATTTAAAGGGTTCTCAGAAATGATTACATACCGCTTACAATAAATAGAATGCCGGCACTGAAGTAATACAGATTATTTCGATGCGAGCATGTGGGGATCAGAAAGACTACGAAGCTGATCATCAGAAAAACCCCAGCGGCCAGAAAAATCGGACACGACTTTGTTACAGTATCTATGAAAAAAGATGTTTAAATTTTAACAAACTACAATAGTAAAAAAATATATATATATATAAATATGTTTAATAACTTTCAAGTAGGTATTAGAGAAATAGGAAATTTTTTTTTTTTAGAATATGCAATAAATAAATAGAAAATATACATTTGAAACTAACAGACAGGGCCTTGAAAAATGGTTTTATAGGACATATATTCCTTTTGTAGTGTGTTTAATAATAATAATTATATTATATTATTTTCTATTTACTTACAGGGTATTGCAGCAGTTGAGTCGTGCGGATCCGGTTGATACCCCTCCTTGGGGAAATAATCGATCTTAATGCAGTTATAAGAATCGACATCGAGTCCTTTGGAATTGGAAATAAATGAAATATAAAGACATTTATCTATAATTTATTTATTTATTTATATTAATTATAGACCTTAATTTTTAACCAACTTATAGATTCATCTTTTATATATTATTAAATGAAAAAATAAGAAAAAATACCAATGAAATGATGATTAAAATTGAAACCAAAAATCCCTTAAAATATAAAAAAAAAAAAACGTATTATTATATAAATTTAAGACTTTATGGTCATATTTATATTTTAATAAAATTCAATACGAACCGTTTTATCTAGTTAATAATCTCATTTATCTATGTATATTGCTTTTAACACTAGCAAATCCTTTATGAAAACGTATTTTCCCTTGTAAATCAAATCAGTAAATACTTTTTACACTTTTTTTTGTAAAATTAAATGAAATAAATTAAATTTTTCCTGTTAATTGGAAGCTTGACTGCTTGATTGATTGATCTGCCGCCAGCCTGATTGAACTTTGGTTTCGCAAATGCTGAAGCCCACATGACGTCTCCACAATTTCACCATTCAGCAACTGCAGTACCAGAAAACAAAATCAAATTCCACACCCCAAAACCGACACCTGTCCCATTCGTCTTCATTTTTCAATACTGCAGATGCTTGAAAAACTGATGACAAAGCCCTCACCTGGCTGCGTGTTGCACAGTATCCACAGGCTGGACTTTGTGTACTTGGTGACATAGGCGCCATCGTCCATAGCATTTATATTGGCAGTCCCATTGTACTTGTAATTGGGCAGCTTTTCCTCCGTAAAAAGCCACTGAGGTCCGGCAAGGGCGGCGATGACAATGGCCACCGAAATGCTGCAAGGAAATTATATTCAAAGTCAGTAGGTTAGGAATTTTGTTGTTAGCTTAAAACTACATAAATAGTAAGATGCATAATTTAAACTTAATGCCTTTTATATCACTTCGTCGGTATTTTAATAAAAAGCAGGTCAGTATTTCAAAAGTATTTCCTTGATTTCACTTTAGTTTTCAATAAAAATACACTGTTTGCTGTACATTTGCGATGCTTTGTTTATATTTGCGTTCGGCGTTGCCACGTAATCTGAACAGAGTATAATTGTTAGGGGCATTGTTCAACACTGTAAAATGAGTCGCGTTATTATTTAATATCCTTGTTATGATAAATCTTGTATATTTTTTTTGTCAATTGTCCAAAATCGATCTTTAAGTTTCAAATTTAAAAAAAAATTTAAGTTTATAAAGTATTTATTTTATTTTCCGTGCCTTCCTGTCAGAAAGTTGCATTCCACAAATCGAAGTCAGAAAGTGGGTCTTAAAGTAATCAAGGAAAATGCCTATGACGGGTTCAATCCGAAAATTGTGTGTGTGCTTGTGTGTGACTGCTGATTAAAAAATACTTCGACCTGACTCTGTGGTCTGTGGAGGAGGCATTGCCGCCAAAAGCGATGCCAAAAATCTGCAAAAACAAAAATAAAGTTAATGTGTGCTGTGTGGCTCACTCATCCTTTCTCCACATCCTGTCGCACACACACACTCACTGGCATGCAAATAAATGTCGCCACCCAAAAAAAAGAAAAAAATACCCCCCACACACACACACACTCACAAAAACGAAAACTGGCTCAAATAAAATTGTTGACGCTAAAATATGTATCTGCGAAAAAAAACAGCAATTGAAATGCAATAAAGAAAAAGGTCAGTGGGTGTTGGGTATTTTTTATTTTTCCTAGAGGCCGCATTGCCCCCAGGCACTTACTCGTGAATACACTCGGCGCTGGCTCAGAAGCTTAATATTTACTCAGCTCGCCAGGTGGATATTTGCGAGCGCAGGAGTGTGTTGATTAGTGTCCTATTTTTTTTTTTTTTACTTTTTACTCTTGATCTATATTTGTATAGCCAATTCATTGATATGGTTGGGATTTTTAAATTGCAAAATTCATTATTAATCTGTAAAGCTGTACAACTTTTACTTTCGCTTTTTTAAAATAGTTAAAGCCCCAATCTAAGAACTTGTAAAAATAAGATGAGTAACGACATAAATTTGTTTCACAAATTTAAAATTTCAATTTGGAAAACATAAAAAAAAGGCTTTTCAAAATAGTTGCACTCAAATTTTACGGACTCTTTTTTATTTCTCAAAACCATTTACAGTCGTAAATATTTATTCGAAAATTTATTGAAGCCTTTTAAAATAAGATGCATAGCGGCATGCTTTTTTTTGCCCAAGAATTTCATTGGCTTTGTGTATAAACATATTAGTTTATAATACGCGAAAAAAACAATAGATTTTGTAATTATACAAGCACAAACACCTAAAGTTGCCACATTGGGCCTTGGCAGGACTGTCACCAACTTTTTGCAACTGCCAAACGCAGCTGGTATTTCTCACAGCGCTGATTTTGGTCCACTTGCCATCTTCTATCTTAGAAACAAAAAAAAAAAACCCCAAAATGCGGAGCTTGTTTTCCAATCGCTACGATAATAAACGTAAAGAGTTCTACGAGCGCTACGAAGGTAAACACTGGATTAGTACATGGAAGTGAGGAATTGTATATAAAACTAATAATGTAATCTCTGATTTAGCTGCTCGGGCCTTGCACCCCAGTTTGCCCCTTTACGAGCGACCCAAGGAGCCCGCCCGGCAGCAGAGCTACGACAGATCCTGTAAACGGCGCTACAAAACATACCAGGAGCTGAACAGCCAGTCCAGCGAGAAGTATAACAGCGAGGAGTGGCTGGCCAGTGATGGGCTGAGCATTGTGGTCCGTCACACCATCGAGAAGCGCAACTTCGAGGAGCTAATGCCCAAGTATGATCCGACATTGGCCACTCATGAATTCAGCCACATTGCCAGGCTCCGGCAACGTGGCCGTCGTCCCACCGCCATTCAAATGGCCAAGATTGTCACTGAATTTGCCCAACAGGTGGGCGGAGTGCCGACAGAGGAGAACGAAGATCAGGACAAGGAGAACGTAGACCCGGGCAAGGTTAACAAAGGCCAGAACTCGGCGAACTCTAAAGGCATATTTATCGAGATCAACAGGAAGGAGCCAGTGTCGGAGGAAGTATATCCGCTTGAGCCGAATATTGTCCACAACCACCTGCAGGTGGTCGATATTCAGAATCTGCAGATGTCCCAGGTCAAGGCCAAGCCTAAACTGAAGCGCGACTTGGCCGTGAAGGACACGGAGAGTATGCCAAGCGAAAAACAATGCAAGATTACTATGCCGTTTCGGATGTTCATTTGCCCAGAGGCCTCTTGCCGGCAGCAGTTTGAAATGCGGTGAGTTTTTATTTTATTTTATATTTTATCTGTCCTTAATAATGATATAATTTAAAGCCGCTGCTTAACTGTACATCAACGGGAGACAGGACACCACAGCTGGTCACACAAGTGCGATAGGTGTGGCCAAATCTTCCGCGCGGAGGGATTTAAACGCATGCATGCCCTCGGAGCCTGCGAACGCAATCTGAGCAAGAAGAATCGCAATCAGGCAACAATGACAGCATAAATTTTGAGAAAATAACAGAGAAGGGACTATAACCCAAATGATTCCATTTTTTACTCATTTTTTTTTTTAAATACAAATTTAATCATATTCCAGTTTGTAATATCAAGTGATTTCTTTCTCTGTACACCTTCGTGCGAAATAGTTTGCGAACAAATTAAGCCCACTTTGCAGTGATTTGTGTCGCTAACACAATTATTTGTCAAGCAACTAGGATGAAGGAGGCAGCCAAGGATGTTTCTTGGTTGCTCTTGTGACAAGGACGAGCTGCCTGTACCAGTTCCGTTGTCGCGTTGTTATTGGTGCCGCTGCTGTGATGACTGGTGTTGTTGTGGCATTCCTTTAGTTGCTTTAAACCGAACGGAAAAGCAGGAAATGTTCTTCAGGGTGTGTGAGGAGTGCGTCTTTTGCAGGAATTCAGGCAACCGGAATTCAAGCTGTTTATTGTCGATCTAAAGCTTTGACGTGTTTAAATTGAATTTGTACGAGTCAGAAATAGACCCACGGTACTGAAGGTGTCGATTGGCCATGCCTGAACTGGGTACCTGGGTCCTTCCTTAACCCTCTGAGCCCCAAAAAGTGCCTTGAGGCACTTCTAACATTATTCACAATTTCAAAAATAATAAAATTATTAGATTTCCCGTTTAATTTCAATATTTTTTAATAAATAATCAATAGTAAATACTGATCCTTTGACTTACCTGGCAGCAACAGGTGTGAGGAGCCACAGGTAACTCCCACTAACATGGCCCATGCTGGTGATTCTACCCTGTGGATCGGTAATGCCACCACCAACACCCGTTCCTAGACGATGTTGCAGCTGATGTTGCTGCTGCTGACTATGATTTTGTTGCTGCTGCTGATGTTGCTGCTGTTGCTGTTGCTTTTGATGTTGCTGCTGCTGCTGCAGCTCCTTGGCTGGCTTGTAGTGACCCAAAGCGGACACCTGTCGCTGCTGCTGCTGCTGCCGTCGGTGGTTGCTGTTGCTCCTGTTGCTGCTGCCATTATGATTTCCCATATTGCTGATATTGTTAATATGCAATTCACTGAAACTGCCAGACATTGTGCCAAATCCAGTGGCCGGAATACTGCCGGAAATGGTATTGATCACGCCAGTCTGCTGCTGTTGGTCCTGAGCCAAACGCTGGCCACGCGGCAATGTGGCATACGGAGAGTGTTGCTGCTGCTGCTGTTGATGTTGCAGCTGTAGCTGCTGCGAAGGATGACTGTGCTCAATGGAAGCACTGGTGGTCAGCTGATGCAGAGCAATTGGCGGCGGCGGAGGCGGAAGCAGTGGATCAATGGCGTTGCTGCCATGTTGCTGGTGTTGCTGCTGCTGCTGTTGCTGGTGTTGTTGTTGCTGCTGCTGCTGCTGCTGTTGTTGTTGCTGCTGCTGTGTGTTGCAGCTAGCGTTCTTAGCTAACTTGTAAGCATTGCTATAGGGATTCTCGCTATTGATGCTATGTGTGGAGGCCACACGAAACACATTGGGCACCAACGGATGGTCCCTCATTATGAATACACTCCACAAAAAAAATCCAACTCACAACTCTAACCTAAAAAAAAAAACACCAAAAACTAAATAATTCAAAAACTAAAACATTTACAATTTCAAAGCGCGCCAAAAAATTTAAATATTTTGGTATTTGCGGGGACGTCCGCTGCGCTGAAGAACTTTCACTCGACTAACAGAATGTTTGGTCCTGGCCAAAGGACTCGGCCATGTAAAACGAAACGAAACGAACATCAGAGCGATGTGGGCCTTCGGCTGCTGCGGCCTCTCGCAGTGGCGATTATAAAACACATCAACCATATATTTTATCTCTGCTTTGATGGTCTCCAACTCCATCAGCAATCCCTGATTCGTCCTCTTCGTTTTGGGGCCAAAGAGATAGTGGCTATGGCCAATGTTAAATGAATTTTTAGCAAGTGCACAGGCACAAAATAACAAAAACTATGGTGTTTTTACCATTTATTTAGACTTTATAAATTATTCTAGATATTCTGTCAAATGAGTATGAATATAACAAACAGTAATCGGCAAATTATTAAAGATTGTATGAATATGTGCACTGCAAAAAAATTTGATTAATTTTATAAAATAAAATATACAAAAAAAAACATTTCTTTATTTTTTGTCTCCTATTGTATTGTTCCTAGATATCAAACAGAACATTTATGTATCGATTTATACATAAGATATCGATATATCGTCCATAAATCGAAACTCGACTATTATCGCTTGTCAAAAGATAAAAGAAAAAGTAAAGCAAACGCTGTACATACAGTTTTTATTTCGCCATGGAATGCTCTTCAATATATTTTTCCAACTTTCAAAATAAATAGATATATATATTTTTAAAAATTTAATAATTACCGTTGACAATTACACACTCACATTTCTCTCAGTGCCACCCAGTGGGTACTAACAACCAGCAGACGTTTGCAACTTCCGTTGTTAGCTAAAAGTGACTTCCGGTCGCTAGGGGATATAACCGTAAATCTGTATGCGTGCACAAGCCTGTGCATACATACAAAGGTCCTATGTATGTAGGGGCTCGTCCTTGTTGTTGTTGTTGCACTTTGCTGCAAATCTAAGAATTTATTGCAGCAGCACCCCCGCCCCTTCGTGTGTCTTCTCTCTCTCTTCATTCCCATCTACCTTTTGTGGCCCCGCAAGTGCAAGTCTCGTTTATTTAATTGAATTCCCACATGTGATTGGGCCAAGTTCGTGCCATGATTGTGCCACATTAAAGGGCTAACGAAGAACCCGAAAATCACCTGTCCGCCCACCGGCACACACAAACTCACTTTTTGGCTCGAAGCACCTTGTTAAGTGCACTGCTGAGTTGGCCTGGCCGATGAGAACGAAGTGAAAGTGTGGATTTGTTTGGCCTTAAGCCCAAGAGCAGAGTTCAGAGCAAAAAGCTGGCAAAGGCCACACTGAAGAAAATTGTTATATTAAAAGGTAAGGCAAAACTGATAAATAAATTCGTACAGAAATCAGCACTTAAAACAATAGTTTTTGATATAAATAACTTACAAAAGGTGTCTTAAAACAAGCAACAAACAATATTTAAACTGTTTTTGGTATCCTTTTTAAGAGATTTCAGAAATCCCAAACCAAGTTTTCGCTTTTTTGGGGTTATGCAGATATGGGTAGAGTATAAAGAGGTGCCACAGAAATCGCAGTGGTACTTTAAGTCAGTTGAAAAAAAAAAAACCTTTAAAAATTGTTTGGCTTCCAAGTTCCTATTTAAATTGCAATTAATTCTTATAAACCCAAAAAATGTCTCTAAAATTCTGCTATAAAATATTACAAATATAAAAAAAAGTGATTTATGCTTATAAAATGATTTTAAATCAAGAGCTTTTTCTTTGGAATTAATTAAATTTTGTTAAGCGCTTGCATTTTTCCCAGTGTAGAATTGAGTGCATATGGGAGCCCAAAGTAATCATCTAGTGAATAGAAAACAAAAGCTGCAGATTATTGCAAGCAAAGCAAAGACCATGGTGCCCTGTAAGTATAAAAAGGCAAACGCAGTAAAAGGCACCTTCAAGAGAGACTTCAGTACCAAAAGATATATATAGCAGGGCTGAAAATTGAATGAAAAAAATAGTAAAACGAAGTGGTATTTCCTTTTAAAGAAAAGTATGAAAAACGTGTTAAAAAGAGCTGTCTATAAAAACGATTGGTAAGCTTTAAAAGACTACCAAAAATGGTGAAATTTATTAAATAAATTTAAAAAGCTTTATTTTTTATTAATAGTTTACAGCTTTAAATCAATTAAATGATTTCGTTTATTTAGTAACGAATTTGTTTAACTAATTTAAATCTCATATCTCGCAGCAAACAACAAGTTGTTCAACGTTTGCCTTTAATTTTCTATAGAATCAAGCTTGCCTTTTCACTCTTTTTAATTTTAGCATTTAAATACATAGGAACAAAGTTTACAACTTTTACAAAAGTTTTCATCTAAATGCGCTGCAAATGTTAGCAACACTTTTTTTCGTTTTCGTTTAAGCTTTCTTTCATTTTTATTTTATATATATATATATATATATATTTTGCATTGCCCAACTGAAAGTGCAAAAGAGAAAGCTAACAGAACATTTTCCATTTTTTGTTTGTGTTGTGCCTTTTGGCAGTTTACTTTGCCCCCTTTTCTAGTTTATTTTTTAGTTGTTTTTTTTTTATTTATTTAATTTTTTTTTATTATTTTTGAGTTGCTGCTGTTGGTGCTGCTGCAACTGTCAAATGTTTGCAGACGCATCCTGCGCATTTTTAAGAGGTCCTGTTAGGGCATCACATTGCTCATGGCTTGTCGTCATTTTTATATTCAGTTGTTGACGCTGTTTTACTTCATTCTGTAAGTGTAAATAATATGTTTTTTAAAGTTGAACTTGGGAAGAGAAAATTTCATATGTGTACACAGACATGGCTAGATATACGCGGCTGTTGATGACCATAAATAATCAAAATATTATAAATAATAAAACTACAAATAGTAAAACATCTTTTCATTGAACAGGTATAAATTAGGGCTGATATATTGTTTCTTTATCGATATTTGCCGATAAAGAATATATATACATCGATATTAATCTTAAATCTTAAATCTTTATTTATTTTATTAGTCTACAAATGTAGTTGTTCTTTAAAGTTTTATAGTTCGAAATACTATACCTTAATTAAATATTTGATGTAATCCTTATATTAGTTTTGAAAAAGGATACAAATTATCTATATATACATATAGCTAATTTTTGGACCTGATCTTTGGTTTATTGTGTCCCCTAAGCTGAGGGCTGCTGGGTTTCTTAAAGTTTTGCCTCATTGTTGTGGACGTCCTTTGTCGTTTGACAGAAGGCCAAACAAAGGCAGAACTTTGGGCACTTCAATATTTACTGTTAAGAGTTTCTATTTCACTCAAGTCTTAAGTTTATATCCAACCATGGTATATATAATATTATAATACAATATAAATAATAATTATTCCTTAAAAATATAGAAGGTCCAAGCCAGACAGTGGCCTCCCTCTGCCTCCCTTAAAGTTGTGCTTTTTTTCTGTTGACAATTTTGCGACACTTTGTCGGCGGGAGGTGTCTCCCATTCATGTGAAGTTCGCTGGGACTACTTAGTTGTTGCTGCTGGTGTCCAAATATTGATTAAATGCACAAAACCCAAAGCCAATGAACGCTCTGAATCCTGGCTCGTTGACACACATAGACCGCGGGTACAGATTTGTTGCTGTTGTGTTGACTGATTAGCGCCTTTGCCGTTGATGTGATGTTGCTGCTGTTCAGGTTGCTGCTGCTGTTGCTGTTGCTGTTGCTGTTGCTGCTGCGGAAATTGATGAGCAATTAAGGTTATTGACCAAACCGCTTGGCGAAGGGTTTGCTGTATTGACGGGGGGTGTAGGCGGAGGTGGTCTTGGGGTGGCACGCTTCGCTGCCTTACCGACTGACCCAATCACTTGTATATATATGTACATATATATATATATAAACTGTATAGCCATATATAAGGGCAGTGAGCAAAATAACTGGAATCTATTTATTTCTTGGGATAACAAAAAATATCGATATATCGCTACTGTATTTGATAAGAAAGTAAAAATATTAATATATTTTAAGCATTGCATTAAATCAGTATTTTTTAAATTAGTTTTCCCAATATTATAAGAAAAAACAATTTAAATATGTTACCTGTTTCTGATATCTATCAATAGATTGATATTTTTCGATATTTATCGATCGTGTTCAATATTTTTCGATATTTTCCATAATTCTATATTTAAATTATCGATATATCAAGGTTTACGATATTTTGACCTTTGATATTGAGCTTTCTTATAAGATAAAAAAAGTAAATATTTTTAAGTGTAAGAAAGATAGCGGCTTGCAAAAGGCCATTAAAAATTTAAATAAAAATATTAAAAAATATATATAAATATATTTTTATTTAGTTAAAATCCTTTTGTTTTAAGTGAAATTCCATTAAATATTAATTAAAATATGAATCCCAATCAGTTGAATATATTATTTCTCACCCTTAGCTGACCATTATTTTGCTTGCAGTGTCGAACATAGACACCTAGGCATCGAAGGGGACGACAAAAATGCCGGCAGCCAGCCAGCCAGGAGAAGGAGGAGGACATGGAGCTGATGGAGCCATAACCAGACCACTTGCTCATCCCGTCGCCGGATGAGGGAAGCGTCAAACGGAAACGAAAGCAATTGACTGAGTGAGTGACAGGTCCAGGTCCACCTGATCAGCCCCTGAGCCACTCACCGCCTCTGACCCACCCCACCCACTCCACTCGCTGATTTACATTAACTGATTTAAGGTGAACGACTAACCTGAATATACCGCAGCAGCTCCTCCGACTGCGACAACTCCAGGTGGCAACTTCAGGCGTAAGTGGAGCGGAAACGGATTACGGATTACGGGTAACTGGCTACGGGTAACGGATTACGGAATACGGATTACGGAATACGGAATGCGGCAAA